ATCATTGTCCTGATGAGATTATATTATATTTTTCCTTTAATTATAGAAACATGAAAACACCAAACAAATAAACATGCACAAATCACACAAATAATAAGAGAACCAGATGAGTTCTACAGCTTGTAGCAGGTAGAAATGTGAAAAATAAGGTCTGTCAGGTTCAGTAGCTACAGCTGATATTTCAATGTGTGAAGATTAATCAACAGTTGGTTGAAGAGAGGTATAGATAGGACTCAGAATTGGATATGCCCAATATTAAAAAATTTAGATCGGGATTTAGGCCAAAACAAAACAAAAACTTCCTTACACATCACCAGTTGCATCCCACGCTGAGCCTGATCCTCTATCTTTGACAACATATTGCTACAGGGGATTATCTAAATCTCAGATGATAAATGCAGATTAAACTGGAATCAGTATACAAATATTTGCCTGAACTTTGAAGACCTATAACCACAGCGTTGACTCTGGACAAGACCAAGACAAACAACTAACACAGCTTTCCAAAGATAAATAAAAAACACTGAGAGCAACATACCCCCAAGTAATAACCAACTGATTAAACACAGTTGTCAAATAACAGTATCTGCATGAATCCAGCATGTCACCACAAATACGTACTGTCAGAACTGTCTTCTTTAACAGTAGCTATAGCCAACAATGATACCAGCATATTTTAGGTTGGGGTGACCAATATTGAAATAAAGTGAGACAACATAACATATTATATTCTGCCATACTATCTTAAATGACTGTAGATCTCCGTATTTCGGATTATTAATAGATATTTACTTGAATGTAAATAAAAAAATTCTAATAAAGATAAATAATTGTGTCTTATCTTCTATCTATATTTGTTTCTCTGGTTTAATTGACAATGTTGCTTAATTTTATCTTCTTTAACAGTTAACTGTTGTTTTGGACTACAAGATATTTTTATAGACCATTAATTATTGTATTAAAAGCCAAGGGTTAGAAAGTGGGAATCCAGCCCAGTGCACTTTGTCTGCTACAGTTTCTTAATGAAAAGTAAAGGTGTTTACACTTCTCATAAAAGCATAAAAAGATGTCTAATGTAGCATTTTGTACTGTAGCTTCATTGTAAAGCTGTGTGCAGTGCAAACACTTTGCTCAGTCCTTTGTTGTCCTGCTATCTCTCTCTCTCTCTCTCACAAATACATTGATAATAGACCTTTCTCTTATAGTTGGACTAGTCATTATGAGTACTGGGAGGAATCCTGCCACATCAATGGCCCGCTTGACCGCCAGAACTCAACATTACACCGATAGATACTGCTTAAGCTGTGCATGTTCCCGCGACAGCCATGCAGTTCTCAACAGGCAGACAGAACTCATCACAACCTCGCCCCGCAGCTACAGGTTAGATTCAAACTCAGTGTGATCCTGCCATATCAGGATAAAACCCACCTTGCGTATGTCAACGCTACTTATTTTAAATGTCTGCCTCTAAGATCCACTTAAACAAACTGAATGAACAGTCTTAGCTGACAAACAAGCTTTCTATTTGCATTGCAATGACACATCACTACAAAAACGACTTTAAAAGCAAAAAAGAAGCAGCACTGACTTTAAACCCGATAAACCGAACAAAGACACTGGAAACTTTTAACTCACATGTGTAAGTGTGCAGACCTGTTGGTGCAAATGTGTGAATGTGTTTTGAGTGTTCATGAACAACTGCACTCAAGCATTCCATATTATCGGGAATTCGCTTATGTTTTTAAAAAGTGTGCTGCACCTTGAGGCCCCGTGCATCTGTTATCATTTTACAACCTGCCTGTAACTCAGCAGAATACAAACCTCCCGAGCATAATGTGCTCCACTGAGCACCTCATTACAGAAAAAGGCCCTTTATACTGGAGGGAGGCTTAAGATGAAGGAGTCAACACAGTGACAGATTACACCAAATTTAGCACGTATGTGTGAGGGTTTTTAACAAGGAAAACCTGCTAAAACGCAATTGACTACTACAAGCTTTCTTTTTTTTGTGAAACATTCAGTCACAAATGCGTCAGAAAACTATTTTTACTCCTTTACCTTTTAGCTTAACTTTAAAACAGTCAGTACCGACTGAATGATATTGTAGCTTTGCTTGGATGGAGACAGATGGCATTTGTACCAGAGACAAAGAAGTTACCAAAAGCAAAGAGTAAGGTGTCCACCTGGGTGCCAGGCTTTAATCACTGACAATCGGAACTATAGAGCCGATAAATACCCGTGGCTACAACAGAGTAATTTAACATGGAAAAGAATGCCGATTGTACCCTTCCCACTGTAGACAAAAGCAAGACTTTAGTGAGTTTTTTTGTCCTGTGTGACAGTGTGATTGTCCCTTTCCAGCATTTTCCAGACTCATAGGAGTGTGATCAACAGCATGCTGACTCCAAAGATCCAGTGCATGTTGCACTGTATGCCTTTTAGCCGGAAACATGAAACCATCCAGTCCTGGAAATAGAAGCTTTTGGCCCAGAAGCAGTGGGAGGTAAGTGGTCAGTGAATCATGTTATTGCAGGTTGTAGTGTTTTTGTGTATTTACTAAATGTAGGAGGCCAGCTACCACGTAAAATCACAACGTGCTAAACCAAGCAAACATTCAAATAGTGTAACAAAACCACAATGAGGCAAAACAACATGACCCTCAAAGACATTAACTTTATAATCTCACCGTTGTGTCAAATCTTAAAAAGGTGTATTTTCTTTCATCAATTCAGTGGAGCTAACACTACAAAAAAGAAGGCTGGAACAGTCCATTTAAGTCACCACAAACAAAGCAGTGTTTTTACATACTATGCTGGAAAAAAAGGGGGAAACCTGCTTTTCCCTTAATCTCCATTATTATTTAAAGATAGTAATACTGTGCAACAGGATTTAACTAAATATTATTTCTTATTCAAAGACTGATGATTTTGTTTAGATTCAAGCCTCAACTTGAATGACAATTTCATATGAAAATAATTTGATCAGGGGCATTAGCCACTGAGATCATGATTTGAGATCATGACATTTAAACTCTACAAATGCAATCGAGATAGTATGAACAATAAAAAAGAAAAAATAATCCTGACTGATAATTGCTTTTATCTGGTACAAATGTAGGATATGAATCATAAGATGCAGAATAGAATAAAATAAGTTGAACTTGGCCACAACTGTACTGTCCACTCTTGTCCATGGTTCCTAAGATTCATACAAACTTTGCGGGTATATAATTGACTAAAGTTTTTCGGGTAAGCAGCTCAAGAGATTTTTAAAAAAGGACAGTTAGTGCAGAGGCAACGCAATCCACAAAACTGATATCATTGATTGTGACAACAGCATGTCACAACGATGGCTGCCCACCATCAAAGCAAGCTGCAGCTACAAAACCTTGCACTGGATCCCCTGTTGTTGGGAGTATCTGAGACAAAAGCCAATAATCTGCAACATGGAAATGGCTCATCACTGAGGTACAACATCTATGCACGGTCACATGAAGCATAAGCGCTTCTAGACGAAGCAACAGCAAGAGGGCACAGTTGTGTTTACTCGTCGTACCCACCGAGCATTACATATTACAATTATTATCATGTCATTTTCGCCTGACTGCTGTTATGGTAATGTAGCATGGCACCATGCATCATCCAACGCTTCTATTCAGCCATTATGTATATATGAACATATATATATATGTTTCTCTTCAAGGTCCAGTGTGTAAGATTTAGGTGAAAGGGAACTATTGGCAAATATTTAATGTAGAATAATCTTCGTGATGTTTTCACTAGTTCGTTTCATCTAAATTGTATGAATTGTAGTTTTCTTTACCCCAGAAAAGTCCCTTTATATTTAAAAACTTTATATTTACATCGAGGGGTGCTCTCTATGGAGGCCGCCATGTTTTTTACATTAGTCCAGACTGTACAAACTAAACACCTTTTGAGTTTTTAATGACAATTGAAGGCTTCCACAGGTTCTTGTTCATGTTTGGAAGGAGAGGGTGAGGTGAGGGGTGTTCAGCTGCAAAATGCAATTTCAACACGAGATATCACAAAATTCTACACACTGTACCTTTAACATCCATGTGTGAGTTAGCAAAATAAAAAAATATCTAATACAGACTGTAATTTGTGTCAAACATTTTACTTGAAATCCACCCATGTCCTACCAATCTTAAATTCTAAATCAAGTTCTTCAGTATAAACACAGATTATCCAGTTATGGGAAAGGACTATGTTATCACACGCAGTGAATAAATTAATCTACACTCATTAGCTAATTTATTAGGCACAACTAAATTAAAATAATGCAGCATTATACAACAGCCCTGCCACAAATCCTCCTGTGAGTGGTGTAATGTTTTGTGATCAAATATGGCAGATTATTATGATTATTATCAAAACTCAGCAGTATTAGATGCTGATGTTTCACTACATTATTGGACTATTGAGGAACTATGTAGCAAGTGACTGGAGTCAACCCGTGTCCATTCTGCTCCACTCAGCTCCATGCTAATCGCTTCCTTTGTCCTCCCCGCTTAAAGAGGAGCAGCCTCCCTCCTGATCAGCAGCTGACCGCCTCTCCAGGGAGAATGACAGGCAGCACCGCCGTACTCTCCAAATAAACACATCAAAAAAGCATCCAGCTTCATATGAACCACCAGAACACCGTCGTTCTCGATAGGTGCTTTAGGGTTGGCAGGGATTTGCGCACTGGCCCTGCAGCAGGCAGACATACACATGTGGAATGTGGAGGGAAGCACCCGCCTATAACAATAACACCACACACACAAAACACAGCCGGGCTGCAGTGGAAGTTTGCTGATATGCGAGATGGATATGCAACGTGAAATGCCATGAGGCCTGCACGCACGTAAACACGAGTGCAGCGTGGAAACAAAGAGGAAAGCTGCAGGATGCATTTGGGCTACTGTGCAGCAGCTAGCTCGGGACCTGCTAACCGGTTGCTTATTCTGTCACAGGAACATCACCGGCGGATGGTCTTACCTGATGTGGCATATCAACCGTCACTTTGTGCAGCAGCAGAGGGGAGGGGGCCCGAGTGTTGTCGCAGCCAGGGTCGCCGAACGTTTCCCCCTCGAGCCGGTGGAGTTGAAGGCAGGTTTTTAAAACAATTTCCCACCACGCTGAAAAAACTTTTCCCCTATAAAACAAAACTGTCAAGAGAGGAGAAGAAGAAGAAGAGAGGGGAGTGGGTGATTAGGCAGGGCCGTGTAACGCTCAGTCTGGGAGCTCGGTAATGACAAGAGCCCCGGAGAGGTCCCGTTATCCCTCGCAGCTGCCCGGACAAACACTGTCACGCCAAACGCCATTCAAGAAATCTGGCTTTTCAGAAGCGGCCTCGCTCGGGCTCAGATAAACACCTCCGGGAGTCGGACTTTAGACCCTCGACGAACCACTCACACACTTGCGGGACGTTCGGCGCATGATCTACACATGATGCAACACTTGACGCAACGCAACTTTCAAGTTTAAATGTTCGGACAATGTGCGGAGCCGACGGGAGCAGAAGTGCAGCTTTAAAGTTAGCGTGTGCTCGCTCGCGGGCGTCCTTCTGAACGAAGCCTGCTGAATATCTGCTACACGTCTCAGGTCCTGCCACTTTAGTTCGCTCGTATGCCAACACAACACGGCCATATTCAATTGCCACATTTCTGAAGGGAGTTCCGCGGTCCCGCAGTTTCTTTTTCCTCCGCACGTGAGCGGACGCAACGTAGACGGAAAAAGGAGAAAACGCCACGAAAACGTTTGAATATTCACACACGGTGAATTACTATCATCACGGTGATTATAACTGTGTGACGGGAGGCTGCGGGGAAATGGCCTCTCCACAGTGGCATTAGGGCCGGGCTGACTGGGTACATTGTTCCAGTCATGTCAAAATATCTGCAGCACCACGAGACTGCGTTAACATCAGCTAGCTACGATACCAGCGGCTCACTTTGCTGGCCTAAATCAGCGCGCGTGTGCGTGCGTGCGTGCGTATCGACCTGGAAAAGCACTTCTCAGTAAGAACCCACGCGAGAAAGAGCACACGAAGACACGAACTGGACACGTCCCTACACCCGACGCCCCCACGGACACAGCAAAGTGCAAATTCACTCACATTAATCCACGCGAGCAGCGACCGACGCGACTCCCTGTTAGTCCAGTTTTTTTAGATCTGAATCAACACAGCAGCAGGACCGCACTTCTCCCTAATCCCCGCCCCCCCTTGCTTTACCAGGCACTCATATCTATACATATATATATAATCCAGCCCCGCCGACCAATCACAGCGGCCGAGTGCGGGGCTCCAGTCCGCGCCCATTGGTCCAGCAGCTGATCAGTCTCCAGCTGCCTGCCTACCATATAGGGGTGTGTCGTGACGTAGCAGGCGGCCTGGGTAAGGTAGTAAACAATTTGATTAGAGTTGTCACAGAAATAAGTGGAAGAAAAAAAAATAAAGGAAGAAAACGTGGACAGGATGCAGATCTGCAGCGTGTGGGGCTCAGTGCAGTCGTTTGTCTTCCTTCATATAGAGTGCGAGATGTTGAGAAACGTCATTGCAATATTGAGTTCGAACTTCTTTTATTCTTCGATGTAATTTTGTTTCCTATTTTTTTATATTTTCTATATTTATAATTACACAAACACACCACTCCCACAAGTGTAAACCTACTTGGCAATAAACCCGTTTTGATTTTCTGAGAATGATTTATCTATGCATGATGTATAAAATGTCCCTATTATTACTTTTATCAACTTTTTTGTGCTTGAGTAAGTGACAGTGACATGTTGAGAATTGTCACTAATATCACACACACATTGAGTGTATGCATTTGGGTTTTAGGAATGCTGCAAACTTTTAAATGTTAAACTATTTTTTCATCGTCATCATTGATTATTTACACATTCAAAACATATGAAATGTCACAGTGATAAATGCCATTATTATTATGTATAAAAGTTGTGTTTTAGGAATACTGCAATACCTTTGAATGTCAAAGTTATGTTTCATCATTAATAGTTGCTTACTTATCTATGTGTTACATCTGAAATGGCACTGGTGAGAAATCTCACTATTATTACTTTTTTTTAACACATTTACGTGTGAAAATATATTCTTTAGGAATGTTGTCTGATGATCTTTAATGTTTAAAGTTATTTCTCATCATGAATTATTGACTGTTTTCCCATAGAAAACATATGAAATTTCACAGTGAGAAATGTCACTGTTATCACACATCTATATGACTAAATATGCGTTTTATGGAATGCTGCAATACTTTTGAATGTTGAAAGTTATTTCTTGACATGAATTATTGATGATTTACCTATACATAATATATGAAAGTTCCACCATCCTCTTCTCCCCTCAGATCTCTCTGTCCTGGAAACTGGTGGTAACTGATAGTTTACACATACCAAGAACATGTGTGTCCACAGCATCTATATGGGGACACAGCAGAGATCATTTCTCTGCTCGGTGGAAGAATTTAGAGGCAACGAAATAGGGCTGTACTGCGCTGTTGCTATAGTGTGTCACCCCCTGGGAGGGTTTTTTTTATCAGCACATTATCCAGTCTTTAATTAGAAGTTATTCTCTTCTAAAAAACATCTCTCGTTATCTCTAAGGATGGTCCTGCCTGGAAGAGATGGATTTTTTTGTTATCAAGGAAACTGGACTTGGCTGTTACAAAGATTCAGTGCAAGAATGGCCATGTTGGCAACATGTCAATGAATTATCCAAAACTTTCCTACATTTCAGACAACACAAATTAGACCGGCAACATTACCCCCTTTCTTCACAGATGGAAAAAAGGCAACTCGAAGCCTGTTTATTGGAGGCTTTGAGTTCTCTGTGAAAGGATTAGGGGTTTTCTTTAAAGCTTACTTTCTGTGCTGTGTGAAAGAAGGCTTTAAAGAGACAAACAACCTCCTCATTCATTATGTGATATGTGGCGTGCTGTTATTACATGTTATAAACAACTGTGTCGTCATGTGAAGACTAGCTCCTGCCTTTCTAAAAGCAGTGTGAATGAGTTCCACATGCAACTTATACTGCTGCCTGTCTAAGAATACGATTTGCTGACTTCTCTGACTGTTGTAAAGAAGTGGAGATGTATCTATCCCATATGGAGTTTGATGTTGTTACAGTTACATCATCGAAATGATCACAGTTGAATGTATGGAATGTCCTCTCTGCTTACAGCTGCTGTTATCCTGTATGTATCAATACTATACAATAAAATACCCTACTATAGTTTATACCTTTGTTATACTGAGCTACACTTTATACTCTAATGCACTGTACTATACTATACCCTTCTATACTATAGTATATACTCTACAGCACTGTAAAATACTATAACCTACTATATAACAGTGTATATACCCTACTATACTATACTATTGGATACACCCTACTGTATTATACTGTACTGTACTATACTATATGTCCCACTACACTTTAGTATACTATGTGCTATTATACTATAGTATATATCAGACTTCACTATACTATACAACGATGTAGTGATTTACAATATACAATGCTGTGCTATACTATACTATACAACAGTGCACTATATTACAATATTATATACAGGAGTGTGTATACCTTATACTATACCATACTATACTATACTATATAAAACTATATTATGCTATACTATACTATAATTTAGTATAACTTATTATAGCTTCCCCAGTGTATGCACTTCTTACGATGATATTGTATAAATCTGTTTACTGAAATCATAAAAACCCATTTTTATCTTTCTTTTTTTTTTTTTATGTCAACTGCATTGTGATTGCAAAATCTGGGCAAGGCTGGCAACGCCGGGCAACAGAAAGTAAAACAGTCTGCATGACTAGATACCAGTGGAAAAGTGGGAAGTTCAAATGTGTGTATGAAAGATTTGAGTGAAATAATGTTTTCTTCCTATTTTTTTTGTTTTTAATCTTGTACTTGCATTACAGGGACTGTGCCAGAGCTCTTTGGCTCTAATGATAACTTCCTTTCGGCTAATTGAACCGCTGCCATACTTATGACGTTAATCTTTTAGGACTATCTGCTAGGTGCCTACATGTAAATGTCACACCCTAAATGTATAATGCACAAATAGTCATACAGTGGTAAATAAATTGTTTCACAACAAGATAAATTGAAGACAAAAAGTCAAATTGAAAAACTTTTTAGTAGCAATAAATGGATTGAATCCCTTTTAAATCAGTGTGGCTCTGCACAGCTCACACCAGCCTGTCCTGTCTAGATTATAGGAAAAACACTGGCTCCAGTTGATGAACATCAAACACAAACAAACTAATAAATCCGTTCTCTGGGTTACTATAGACTGAATATACTGAGGTAAACTAAAGGGGTGTGTACATAAATACAATCTATATGCTTGACATTCACATATCTAAGTGTCAGTTTCAGCCTGCCTGTGTGTGCATGTGCTGGAATCTAGGCCATCCCTTGTGGCTTTGTGTCTGAGAGGCGGATCAGTCTATATGAGGGGCAGCCAGGCATATGGGCGTGTTTGTGTGAGCACATGCGCACACAGGATCTCATCCACCAACTGTGTGTGTGTGTGCCTGTGTGTGTGCCTGTGTGTGTGTGTTTGTGTGTATGTACAGTATGTGTGAGAGAGAGAGAGGGAGTGAGAACATATTCTGTATGAGGTGCTTGAGTTATCTGGGGTGTTTCCACTGTGCAGACGCACTACGGCATAACAGGAAGAGGAGACACTCTCACTTAAACTGTACAAACACAGACACATACACACACACACACTCTCTGTAGCTCTCTCTTCCTCACTATCTTCCTTCCTAGAGCTAGGAATCTCTCCATCGCCCCCATCTCATAACCAACACACAAACACACACACACACACACACACACACACAGACACACAAACATACACACACCAGACTTTCTCTCCCACTCGCAGGGCGAGCCTAGGAAACAGCTGGAAAAGCAAATAGTCACAAGCAGGCCGAGCCCTGGCCCGCTGGCTCTCACAAATGACTGGACCTTTACTTGGATGAATGCAGTCCTCACACTGGCTTCTCAGCTGCAGTCAAAAACGCACAAGGAACAGTGCAATTGCACAAACCTAAAGGAATGCTGCAGCAGTTGGCAAACACACTGTTTGATCCACTTTGGAGTGTGCGTCAAGGAGATTGGTAGCGGTGTCATCCTCATGCCACAAGTCTCGCAGCGGCATTTTGGGCAGCTTACGTCCACACAGAGGATCACACAGTCCAGGGAGGCCGCTGCCTCGGTAACAACCAGGCCTTTCCTCTGTCCCCATTTCAAATGTGTAGTACGCTCCTCCACTCTGCCTCGTCCTCCAACTCCCTGACAATGTCACTGACAGCTTCCAACATTAATAAACTCGACCCATATTCACAACAAAGTCGCTGCATTCTTTCCAATCAGACAGGGAATTGATAGCTGAGCAAAACTGGAACATGGAATAAGTAAATCATGAAATACTATATGTTGTTTTCACTGACATTGGGCCTTTTGATCAAAACTCACATGAAGCAGTTGGTGCATTTAATTTCTCTACTGTGATTAATTATCAAAATTATCAAAATGATCTGGCGGCCACCACTGCTGTAGTTTACCAAGGTTGTAGGTGAAGATACGCTCAACACAGTCCACAGACTAAAGGCACACTGCCTCATCCCCACTGAGTACTGGTCGCCTGTTTATTATTTTTATTTTTATTAATATTGAACATATCATTTGTCCAAATCGCACCAAAATCATCACTTCCCTGGGCCATTAATACACATGCCAAGTGAGAAGCTGATAAGATGACTGATTCACGAGATAAGCATTCCACATACAGACAGAAGTTGGTGATATAGGTACATGAAATTGAAGGCAATTCAAAATTTGGTATCACAATCTTCGACTCAGCTTTTCTGCCCAATATGTGTTCCTGGAGGAGGGAATACAACAAAAACATTTTTTTTGGACAGGATTCAAGAATGTGGATGACTTAGACAACATACAAGAGCGCGAGAGCACCTCACAAAAACCCACTCTACAGCCTGGCATTCCATTTTTAAGACACGGATGCAGCTGCACACCCCCATCGTTGCACTTGAATGGATTATAGACCTGGAGGCTGTGCGCTGCCGACATCACCTGTTCAACACAAACCACCTCCAACAGCCTGCTCTGTTTGAATCCTTAAAGGC